GCCATCTACAACAACTTTAATGAAAGGAAGAACATGTTTCTTCCAGCCAACCAAATTACAAAGTTTCCTTTTGGTAGTCTAATTATAAATTATGAATGCTTTTAAGATGTGCTTCAACCCTTGAACAAGAGTATTACTAGTTTTGCTGATATGAAAAACTTTGAAAATAAAAGCTTTTATGTTGATCATCACCCTATCAACAATGTGGTACCAGCATTAATATTTCTTGTTGTTTCTCTCATACAAATGAATCAACATTCAATAAATGGGACCATACTTTGCAAATGTACTTCAAAATTCTTCCATTTCTAGCTTGCTAAGCAGTGATCCAGGGAGATATATCCATCTATGGACCTTGAAACGTTAAAAAGACTATACAAATTATTCCAAAATTGTAATCTTTACTTAGAAGAAAAAAAATATGTAAGCATGTTTCTTCATCTTGCTAGCAAAGAGGGAAAATTGATAGGATTTCTAGACCTTTAATTTTCAAAATAGCATCAAGCATCAACTTAAATTGCAGTCTCCAAGAGAAGACAACCTGAGCTGATTTTAAGATTTTATTCTAGATTTTCTCTCCTCCTTTCTAGTTTTGATTGGAGTATAATTTGTCGGTAATTGATTTTGAGAGGTATATTGACAGCTTTAATTTTCATACTATTAGTCTTTCCTGTATCAAAATAAGTTGTGGAGATTTATGTAGCCATTTGTTCCAAGCTGACTAATGAGTTTCGGATTATTCTAATTATCCCCAAACCAAATAGTAGCCACATTATTATCTTGTAGAAACTACTCCCCTTTACCCAACCCTCACAAAAAAATCCTCAGCTTTCTACCCGATGTTTAGAAATTCTCTGCAAAAGACATAATCTCCACTTTTTGTGTTGAAAAGAAGAGGATGCGTGTGCTTGAAATATGTGGACAACATGAATTTTGGCCACATTCACCTATAAAATCATATGTTAATTCAAAGATTGATAAAATTAATCTCTATTTTTTTGTGAAGGTTCTAAATCCTAACTCATTTTCATTCTTTGGTTTGCACAAACTTCTTTCGTGATGTTCAACGCCAACCCTTACCATGATCATCCCATAAGAATTTATTGAAAATACTTTCTAATTTAGCTTGCATACCTTTAGACATTTTGGAGACTTGTGATATGTGAAGAGGAATATATGTATGAACACTTTGTATGAGAGTGGGTTTGCCCCTAAAGGAAATGAAAGTGTTCTCCCAACTTCGAATTTTCTTATGTATTTTATGAATTGCTTCTCCAAAGATTTTATTGCTACTTCTAGTGGTGAAGATATGGGTTATAAGATATTTTAAAGGAGGAATCTTGATGCCAAAGCCAATGTTGTCATCAATCCATTGTCTATTTTGAATAGATACCCTTTGACTGATAATAGATTCAGTTTTAGCCTTATTGAAGTTCATTCCATATACCTTTTCAAAGTGCTGAAGCATGTAGTAGATACTCTTTATATTACTTTTTCTAGCATTGCTGAATAAAATAAAATTATTTGTATAAACAATGTGTGAAATCAACTCACCACCCCTAGCTGAAAAGGAGCTCGTTAGTTTGGAAATCAGATGCATATTTAATTATCTAGAGAGATAGTTGATACACCTTAAAATTATCTATTTTTAATATAAATTAATATTCATTTTATGCACATTTTTTATGAAATTGCACTTTAAAGAAAGACATTTTGCATGTTTTTTGTTTCAGGTCAAAAAATGGATCTTTAGAGAAAATGAGGGCAAAATAGAGTAAAATGACAACATCATTTGGTGCCATAATGCCAGCCGTTGGCGCCATAGCGCTAGGTATTTGAAATGATGGGTGCCTAGAGCCCCAGAGTGGCGTCATAGCGTCAGAAATGGTTTCTCTAGAAGATGCAATGAATTTGTACAAATTTTGAAGGGGTGCTTGAAGTGACCCTTAGTTATTTTCAGAGATATATTAAAATGGGTCAATGACTGAACGAAAATGGAGAATTTGAGAGCACTTTATGAGAGTTATAAAGTCTAGAGAGGGTGTGTGAGCTCATATTTGAGAGAATTTGTCTTGTGTAAGTAGAGTTTAGAGATTGCTTGAAGGAAACTTCAAGAATTGCTTAGGTAGAAGACATAAAATAAGTACTTTGTATTTGTATTTGAGTTTTTGTTGTTAAGACTTAGCTTTCAATACAAATCATGTGTTTTTGTTTTATCTCAATAAGAAACTATGCTCTTTGATTGAATTATGGTTATTATCCAACTCCAAAAGCTCAACAGAGGTTCTTAGTTTTCAAACTCTAAGAGTGTATCTGAATGAGCCCTAATGCATGCCTTAAGTCAGTACTGCATGAGGATGTCTGGTTCTAGAACTATTATGTCAAGTATCTTCTACTGAAATCCGGTGATGAAGCTTCCTATCAGATCTTCTGAAGGGATTGAGAGTTGTTATGTAGCTTTTAGGCGCTAACATATTTTCATATAAATATTTGTTTAAACTCACTAAATGAGATGATTACATGTGCAGTTAAGTTGTTCAACCAGTGTAGAGCTAGTTTCTTCAATATCATGAAGATTATACAAATACTTAAGGGTGATAAATGTTTACTCATAGTAAACATAAAAACTATTCAAAAAAAAAAAATCTATGAATTGTTGGATCTTATATTCACTTTTAAGACTCTAAGGATGAAATTTTATTTTTTTATTTTCATTGGTGTTTCAGCCTCCACATCCCTGTTGAAAATGTATTCTCCAACATTTTTTATTTCTTCTTCTTCCTCTTCTAATCTTGAGGAGAGGAATCTGCTGAGCCCCATCATTGGTAGCTCGTGTTTATGAAAAATTAGTATTGATGATCTTTTGCGCATCCTATAATGAATTTTGAAGTAAGGTTTAGAAGAATCTTTACTTTCCTCTCGTATCATCATCTTCAATTGCTCCTTTAACTTATTGATTTGATTCATAGGTGAAGCTTGACAATTGCATTCTTGAGAGAAAAATGGGTATGCCAGGCTCAACATGACCCATTGACATTAGCACTGGTCCGTAAAGGTCATTTTTTGGTGTGTACAGTATTTTTGATGTGATATTAAAGAAATAAATGCCACACATGTAAATATGTAAGTTTGGATGTTACATGTAAATACATAAGAATCATGTGATATGCATGAGCATGCCCCAAAATTCTTTTATATATTAAAATTTGAATCCCAATTACATTAAAAATATCATATTTAAATATTTTTAAATGACATTATACCAAAAATAAAAATGAAATGAAAACTGAAACCTATATAATTAATTAAACCATCAAAACTATCGCATGATTTTGAAACTGATTTTTCTTAAAACCTTAAGAAAAATTGAAAAATAAATTTTATTCTATCAAAATTTATTTTATTTTACAGAGATGATATATATATCCAAATATATTTATTTATTAATTAATTATATTAATGCATTTTTTTCCCTTCATTTAATCGTAAGGAAAAGTTGAAAATGTCTAATTTTTTTAAAATTAGAATTTAAGATTATTTATATAATAAAGGATAACAATAACAAATATTATGTATATAATTGAGATTATTAAGTTATAATAAAAAATAGAGTATACTTTCTTAAATAGCTAGATTTTGCCCCCTCCAGATCAATATTCTCAGCTTCATCACTGTTAACATATTCAATTATTAAAAATATTACTGTTATATCATTTAAACTAAATTAAATTAATTTTAATATTTATTATGCTCTTTAGACCTTTTAGTTCATTCAGAATTGAATCTTTGATTCTTGAACAAATTCTTCTTCTCAATGTCTGATTTAATTTTAATAAATTTGTGTTTTTTTTCGGAAAAAATAAGCCCAAAGAGTAGTACGTATGATTTGAACCAATGATCTTGCTGTACGAAACTAAACCCTCAACCACAATAACGTGCAGTAATGCACTAATAATTTTGTGTATTGAGAGACACAATCTGCACTCGTTTCAAGCCAATTAAGTTTGAGAGTTGGACGGATGGCCGGGTGGGCTTGTCATAAACCCAATTAAAATGAACATGCTTGACAGAAAATTTTAAATAAAAATAAGGTTGAAGCTACATCAGAATCTTTTTTAGCTGATCAAAACAAGAATAAGCCCTACCCGCATCAAAACTGGCCTGTCCAATGCCTCTGTGAAAATGAGCCAAACACGAGCGAGCCCAGGCTCAGCTCGTGTTCGAGTTGTTTATATTTCGAGCTAAAAAAAGTGTGTTCGTGTTCGGCTTGTTTGCTTAGCGAGCTGAACACGAGCCGTTCACGAACAAAAAGTC